GAGGAAATGCTGTCGTGTCCCTCCTTGCCCAGCTCCCGGTGATTTACAAGCACGAGGGCTTTGCTGTACCAAGGTCATCACCAAACCCACCCCTCCTTCCTCCTGGGGCACAAGTTCCACCATTCGGAGACGAAGGAAGACGAAGATTCCAGGCACTGTGTTACTGACCAGGGGCCGGGAGGCAGCTTGGCCATTCAGGGTGGCCAAGGGCTGTGGGTTCTGCTTTTCTTGTTGCTTAAAAGCTCCCCCGAGCAACAACCCCACCTCCCGTTACCTGATGGAGGGCTCTCGTTTGCCTGTTGCAAAGCCCAGCCCATGCAAATAAGGCGGGGAGCTGATTTTGGGGCAGCAAAGCTGGTGGTATGCAAACGACTGTGGGAAAGGCCAGGTGCTGCTCCTGGCGCTGTGCAGGTTTGAACGCGAAGCTGAACATGAAATCGGGTTTGACCCCAAATTTGAAGCTTTGTCAGAGGGAATGCAAAGGAAACAGGAGGTTGTTAAAGCTGGAAGCTATAAAAGCTGCTCCCGTCATCTGGGTTTGCTGGACTTTGTGAAAGAAAACAGTTTATCTTTGGAATAAATAAAAGGGAGAAGGCCAGGCTTGCGGCAGGAAGCCCCATGTTCGCACCAGGCAAGCTGGGCTGTGCTGCAGCTCTTGCCCCTGCTTCCAAGAGGACGCCAGGTCTTGCATGGTTTCTGAGCCTCAGTTTCCCCTCAGGGAAGTCCCGCGCCATGGCAATGGTGGGAACTCCAGGCATTGCCAGGAAACGTCTTTGAAACTCAAACCTGGCTTTGGAAAAAGAACTGGAAGACAAACCGGCTCTGAACAAACACCCGAGTTAATGCCTTGTCTTGCATTGTATGAGCCCAGTGAAATGAAACACGGTGCAACCACGAGGACGAGTAAATGGATTCAAATGCGTCAAAAAGTCCCCAAATCTGCTGGCTCTGAAGTATCCCTTTACACGTAGGGCTGGGATTTTTTTTTCTCATTTTCCTTCTAATTGTTCCTGGGAATTTAATTCTACAATTATTTTCCTGCTTCTCCTGAGAAGACAATGTGCTTCAGCCACAAAGCCTTTGAAGGCTGAATTGCAGAGCCCATCCAGCACTGAGCTACTTGGATGTGAGCACCCCCTTTGCTGGGAAAATCCGTTGTGATGTGGAGGGCAGTCTGTCCAGCTCTCTGTCTGTCCATCCAGCCACCAAGGGGCTGCAGGCAAGCGGCAAAGCTTGGCATGCTGCAGATGGAAAGGATGGAAAAGATTGGGGTTTGGGGGTGGTGTCGCTAGCACCGAGCATGCTGCTTCTGTGCGATGGAGGAGGTGGGAGCCCCGGGGTCTGCACTCCGCATCCTGGGGCTTGGTGACTGCACTCTGCCTCCCCAGCGGCCTAGGGCTGGTGACAGGTGAAGTCAGAGTCAGGTCGGAGTCTCAGCATCATCCAGTTCCACTTCCCAGTTCCTGCGTGGCTCCTGGCTGGGCTCTCTGGTGCTCCCAGGCTGCAGGGTCAGCCTGGGGCTGCTCCGGTGGGGTTTCTGCAGGAGTAGACGTGCTGCATGGGAGGGAAAAGCCGCAGGGACCGTATCCTCACTGAGAGCTTGCAAGAGCCAAATGGCCTCTGGCACACAGGGAATTGCTTCTGCGAGGGGAGATTTGCTGTGTTGCCTGTGGGTGCCAGGTCTGGGCTGTCTGGGACATCCCTTAGAGCTCTTGATCCCGTCATGGGATGCCTTCAGCCTCCCTTCCTTGCACCCTTCGCTCCAGGGGCCAGTTCTGAGCAAGGCTTTGGGGCGATGGAGCCAGGCGAGAAACTGTTTCATTCATCAGCTGGCGTTGGTGGGTTTTCCATACAGACAGGGAGCAGAGGAGTGCTCTGTCCTGCCATCCTGGGCACCGTGCTCTCACCGTCTGCTTGTGGCATGCCGGGAGCTGCTGGAGCAGAGCCATCCTTATGGCTGGCAGGCGGCTACAGGCAGGTGATGGTTGCCCATGGCACAGGCCAGAGCAGCTTTCCTTATTTTCCCAGTTGGGTTTTTTGGGTGGGTTTGGATGGGAATGGCAGGAGAGCTCTCCCTGGGACTTGGCAGTGAGCTCCATTGCTGCCTGACAGCCCCTTTGAACCTCCTGCTCCACATCAGACCTACCCAGATGGAGGAGAGGAACGAGTTCTTGTAAGATCAGTGAAAACAGGAAGCTGGGGAGAGGCTAAAGCATCCTGATCCCTGCAGCTATGCAAGGGGACACCCTGGCTGGTCCCTGCCCCTTGCTGGGCAAGTGGCATTCCCCATGGATGCTGCAGGGGGATGGAAATAAAGGCATGGCACTGGAGGCAGTGGCGTGAATCTGTCAGAAATTGGGCTGTTGTTAGTTTCATTGCTGCCAGATCAGTTTGTCTTTTTGGGATGTTTAGATGTCTGGCTCCTGCCGGCAGTAGTGCCCCTTAAGTCAGCCCACGTCCCCAACTGGCTCCTGTTGCTCTCCCATCCATCACTTTGCTCCATCATGCATGTCCTCCCTGCCATGACCTTTGTGGGACCAGGGCTGGGTGCTCTCTTGTACGGGATGTGCAAGGGCTCTGCTGATGGTGGATGAGGCTGTGTCATGCCAGAGAGAATAAGAGACCATTCCCATGGCCCGCCTGGCTCCACAGTGGCTGTGCTGCGAGCAGGGGCTTTGTGGCGGGAACAGGGCAGGATGCTCCTTGGGAGGAGGCAGTGTTGCTGCTCCCCCTCTCCTCCTTTGTGCTTGAATCCCAAATTTGGGTAAAAGACAGATATATCTGCTTCCTGAATCGCTGAAGCCCTTGTGCGTGTCTGCTGAAGCGCCCCAGGGTCAAGCATGGTTTTGTTTAAAGAGAGCAACTAAAATAAACTCGATGAGGGGCTCCCAGGAGGTCACTGTGCTCCTTCCCTCCCCGGCCCCCAAACCCAGCGCGGGTCCCCTCTGCCCTGAGGGCTTCCAGCAAGTTTGGGGATTTTTTTTTTTGCTGTTGTTGACAAAAGTCCTGGCTGGTTGGGAAATATCCGTGCGGCAGCGCCAGCCCAGTCCCACGGGTCAGATCCTGCCCTGCAAACCTCTGCTGAGAAGGGCAGCTTGTCCTGGGCTGGCCTCTGGGGATGCTGCTGGGGGGCAAAGGGGAGGCACCCATTGCCTTGCAGGGCAGCCTGGGCTTGTGGCCATGAGCAAGCCCATGGGATAGATGGATTCATGGATGGGTGGATGGATACCATGAGCTCCAGGGGGACCTGATGTTTTATCATTTGCTGGTTGGGCTCTGCGGCAAAAGCAAAGTGCTGGAAGTTCATCAAGGACTGAATTAAAGTTGCCTGGCAACCTCCATCCCGGCTCTTCTTCCCACATCTCGCAGGATTTCCCACTCAAGGTCTGTTGGCTCCTGGGAAGGGGAGCCTGAAGCACACTGTGCTCGCAGCCATGCAGGGGCCAGGCTTGCCTCTCACTGGATATCTCATTTCCTGTAATTCCTTGGCTCATTCCCACGCCTGGGAGCTGGGAGCTCTCCCCACCTCATCCCCCAGGGCAAGCACCTTTCCCCCTCTTCCTGCACCAGGAACGGGTCTGGCTGTTTCAGCTGAACCCGAGGGCAACTCACACAGGGCCTTGGAGATGTAAAATGGTGCGGGGCCAGTGGGAACACGGTGGGGGAGCTGAAGGGACTGGGGGGTGGGGGTCACCTGCCACGCTTGGTCCTGAATTGGCTGCACAGGGTTTGGGGTGCTTAGGCTGGGCTGTTGTGATAAAGCAAGGTGTAGACCGTGCCTCCCAGTGCAGTCCTGCCAGGAGTTCTATTTAGGCCGTTTTGCAGCCCCGTAACCCCGAGGAGATCCACTGGAAATCCTGCCCCCACTGGGAAGCCAGCAGTTCTTGCTGGTAGGGGTGCGTGATGCCGAGGGGGGGGCAACCCATGAGGAGGGGAGAAGGGTCCAGGAGTCTGCTTGGGCTTTACTAGAGCCTGGTGGAGCAACCACAAGCTGTCCCTGAAGTAGCAGGATGGGGAAATGTCCCATCCCACTCTGCAGATCTCTGTTCTGCCATGCAGGGTGGATGCTGGGGGTGAGCCAGAGAAGGGCAGCTCCCACCCAGCATTTCCATTTTTTCTCCTTTAAATTAAACAACCAGCATCATTTTTGGCTGTGCTGCCAAGGAAACAGCCATGGGAGGCCCATAAGATCCTGGCTGAGGTCCCTCCGTGTTTGCCAGCCCCACTGACAGCGCAGCTTCCCTGCACTGCAGCATGCAGTGGCTCTGGCTGCCAGGGCTCCCTGCCTCGTGGCTTTGAGGACCATGGGGCAGCAGGAAGGGGCCACCATGCGCAGCAGAAGCTCCTGGCACAGCAGCTGCTGAGGGGTGCGGCGGCTTTGGCCGGATCCAGGTTGTCGGGACCTGCCGCTGGGAAGTTCACTCATCAAAAGCCTTTTGCGCCTCCAGAGACGCTGGTCGCAGGGATTTTAAGGAGGTGCCGCCTGGGCCGGCTCGGTTGGGTGTGCTGTGCTGCGCTGTGCTGTGCCGTGAGCCTGGCTGCTGGTGGGAGGCTGGGGCCGGCACAGTCATGCTCACACAGCTTCCGCCGTGACCCAGTAAACCCAGTCAGACCTGACCGGGGCTCGCTCGCTCCCCTGCACGCTCACGCACGCCTGCCTGCCTCTGCTGCCGCACTGCTTTCCTCGTGCTCCGCGGAGGCCAGCAAACCCATTCTGCCGGCGGGAGACAGCGCCGGGAGCCGCGGCCGCATCCTGCAGGATCACCAATCGCCGGCGGTAGGAGAGGGGCTTTGGCCTCCATGGATGTTGCACGTTGAGATCAGAGTGGTTGGTTCCTCGTGGTGACCGTCAGCCCCGTAGCCGGATCCTGCCTCCACCACCCTTCTCCTTCAGCGTTGCTGGCCAGGGCCGGATTTGGAGCTGGATTGCAGGTCTTATGTCAGTCCCCCCTACGCTGGGAAGTAGGTGAGGTGCTGAGGGGCTCAGGAACTTGCTCCTGGGGGTGGGATGGGCTTTCCTGGGTGTTTTTTCTCTTAAACCTCAGGTTCCATTGGAGCTGCTGCTGCTTTTCAGCCTCTTTTCTCCACCCGTTTGTGTTCCTCCCACAGGGAAAACTCTCTGTGGTGTTTCTCCTGCCTTTTTCCTGTTTCCCATGGGAGTGCTGGGCTTGAGCAACCCACCTGACCCCAGCCCTACCAGTGGGTCCCACGGACCGAGACCTCCTCTACCTCCCTCCCCAGCCCTTGCTTTGAACTTGCACCCATCCAAGGGGGAATGATGGGTTTGGGGGTGTTTGGTATGGCAGCAGCCTGGCGTGACAATCTGAGCGGGGTCAAGGATGATTTCATTTCCTCCTTGCTCTTTCTCCCCCCATCCTAGGTATAAAAAATGCAAGCAGAGAACCTCACAGCAGCCCTTCCCTTCAAGTAAAAGATTAACTGGCTCTTACATTAACTGATTAAACGTCCTGTAGGACAAAGTTACATCTGATCTCAAGCAAAGGAGCCTTTGGAAATTCCAGAGTGTAGCTTCTCCCCTTTTAAAACTAGAGGATCACAGCCCTGGCAGCAGGGGAGGCTGTTTCCTGCTGCCCCTGCCTGCCTGGGAACCCTGTACAGCCCCACACCTTAATTCACTATTTTTATTCCCCGCACTCCATGCTGGCTTGGTGCTGACTCTGGTTAAACGTTAGCCAGGGCTGGCTGGCATCGTGGTGCTTGCCCTGTGAAAAGCGCCATCCCTGCCTCCCTGCCCAGCCACGCTCCCAGCTCCAATCTCTGTCGCGTCTGGAGCCAAGCAGCAGGCAAAGTTCAGTGCTTGTTCAAGGGAGATAAGGTGAGGATGCATGGCAGCGTGCAGGCAGCTCGCAGGGCTGTTACTCATTTATTAGAGATCATTGTTTGCCTGGTTGTAAGGAGGTTTCTCCTCCCCTCTGCTTTCCCAGCAAGAGTGTATGGCAGCATTTGTGGCTTGTGCATGATTCTGGCTCGTGTCCCCACACAGAGGCCTGGGGAAGGTCCCTGCAGCAGAGTGGCCCTGGTCCCACTGGCAGTATGGAGAGGTGTCAGCATGGGGCTGGCTGGAGTGCTTTTGGGTGCTTTGGTGCTCCACATGTGACCCCACCACTTGCTTTGCCCTAATAGCTTGGTGGGTTTGGCTCATGGTGCCATCAAAGCAACTACTTTTTCTGTGACCTCCATCCCCATTCACCCACCTTGCATCATCTTGCCAGGCCCATCATTCACTAGCAAACCCTTGGTCTGCACAGGGCTTGTCCTGGGATCAGAAGTTACTTGGTGGGATGATGCTCTGGATCATCGTCCTCTGTTTGCCAGGGAGCTCAGCTCTGTGGGCAGCACCCTGCCTGCAGCCAGGGTTGGGTGCTCTATGGATGCTCTATGTTGGGCTGGTGTCTGGGGTGCAGTGAGGCAGGAGGGAGCAGCAGGGGGATCATCTCACCTCTGCCCCATTCCTGGGATGCTCCAGGGCAGCAGCCAATACAGATGTGAGGTCTGTGGCTGAATTCCCCCAAAGGAAACAGCGGTTTAACACAGGATCCAGGACTGCAGCTGGATCACACATCCAGCTCCTCACTTCTCCTTTTGAGCCCTAAAGCCCTTTTCACTTCTGTTTCACTTTGGTTTTATCTCCCCTCTGCCTGAGACCCGGTGAGGTATTTGCTTCAGGGAAACTGCAGCAAGCGTGTTTGGGCAGCTTCTCTACAGGGCCAGGTATTTGCTTTATATAGATAAAAAACCCCCAACAACTAAGCAAACGTATAGGTGCTGGTTGCTTATGGAGAGCTCTCCTGCTCTAGGTAACCAGGCAGCTTCTTCCTCCTTAGTGCCTGTAAAATGAACCAGTGGCTTTGCTCAGTGCAGCCAGCAGAGGCAGAGGATTATTTGGGAGGGATTGAATTCATGAAAGTGAGAGCTGAGGTAGATGCTGAGCTTCAAGGCAGCTTGGGATGAAAGAGGAACTGAAAACTCATGGATAAACACTGGGGAGAAAAAACTGTTCTCACCTGGAAAGACTTGATGAAGATGCCAAGTGGTTCCTGTATGGGTTTTCCTTCACCTTGCATCACTGCATGCCTGTAGCATACTTCCCCCTGCTTCTGTCCTCAGGAATCTCGTTTCAGGAGGGGCAAAACTGTGGGGACAAGTATCTTTCATGTGAGGAGCCACGAACTCTGGCCATCCTATCCCTGCTTATCCTCCCACTCGCCATCAGCTGTGCTTCCAGGGGAGGAGCAGAGCCTTTGGGCTCCCCAGGAGCCCTCCTGCCGCAGCTGGGAGCAGTGCTTGGGGTATCCCAGTGTGCCAAGAGACCTTCAGAGGGGCTCAGCCCTGAGCCCTGCACTCTGCTTTTGGGGGTAACTGTGCCTGCATTTTGGGTGTGAAAATGCAGTGGGGGATCAGCTGTCTGTGCCGAAGCATATCCTTCAGTCGGGGGGAGGATGGCTGGGAGGGAAGGAGGGAAGAGCCTGGAGCAAACTTGAAGGAAAATGAACCTCCAAGCAACCCAGTCAAGCACTCAGCAAGTGGACACTGAGCCAGGGGCTCTGCTCAGACTCGGCTCCCTGCCCTGTGCTAGCTGCAGGTTTGATGCCTTGCACTGTGCCTCAGTTTCCCCGTTGGCAAACAAGAGTTTGCTTTTCCCTGAAGCTGTCCCTGGGCTGAGGCCATGCCCAGTCAATCATCCATGCGTGAGTGCAGCCAGCTCCTTCCCGAGCCCATTGCTGGTGAGGTGCTGGGGGCAGCAGGAGCATCTGACCCGGTGCTCTGTGTTTCAGGAGGCTTTGGTGACCATCCGCATCCCAGGGAGCTGGGGAGCGTGTCCCAAGGATTGGCTCTGCCAGCCCGGCAGCCTCGAGATGGGCAGCTGCCCTCAGCGGGGCAGCGGGAAGATGAGCAGAGGCATAGCGCATCTCCTGACGGCTCTCTTCATGGCGGTGACGGCAGTGATAGGCTACCCGTCACGGCGCTCTGCCACTGACCTGGATGCCACCCCCAGGACAACAGTCACCTTTGAGGGTAAGGGGGTGTGGGTCTTGGTGGTGGTGGTGCAGATCTTGCCGGCTCTGGATTTGTTGCATTGTGACTGCATTCAGACTTCCCTGGCCCCTGGAATGGGAAGCTTGGCATGGTGGGTGGCTACAGGGGGTCCCCTGGGCTCCAGTGATCAGAGCCTGCATGGCTTTCTGTTGCTGGATGCCCAGAGCTGATGTACCCTGAGGGATGGATCAGTGGAGATGCAAAGGCCTCTCCCCAATAGCCAGTTCAGGAGGACAAAGATGTGCAGGGAGCCAGCCTTGGCCAGACCCTGGCTTTGCCCAGCTGCCCTTGAAAAGTGTCCTGAGCTGGGCATCACACCCAAATAGTCAGCAGGGAGCTTCCTTCCATGGTTTTCTCTAATTGCCACTAGGCTGTTGGCCTCCAACCTCAGCCAGCCCCATAGTGTCATTGTGCCCTGGGCATCCACGTGACTTCACTGACCTCTTTAGTGAAGCCCAGCTCAGCAGTTGACAGTGGTTCATTTGCAACTGGGGTGCCCTTTCGTTCTTCCAGACAGTGCCTCCTTTTACAGGTCATTCCCTCTCCAGCTGCCTCCAGGGTCCCAAGCCCCATGGGACTTCCCCCTCCTGTGGCAGGAGGGTCTGAGCCTCCTGGCTTGGGGTTCCTCTGGCCAGGGCACTTCTCAGCAGCCCAGATTGAACGGTTTCTCTAGCTCAGTGGGCAGGGAGCACCCAGCCTGGCTGCAGAAGCCCTCCCCTTGCACAGCAGTTTTGGTTCAGGTTTTGTGCATCCTTTTGAACTGGTTGGGTTCGGTTCAGAGCTGGGTCACTGCTGGTGTGGTTTTGCTTCCTCCGACTGCTCTCCAGACAGTGTGGCAGGCCCATGCTGGACCACTGGCAGGCAGTACCACCAGCCCAATAACCTCGGGTGGTGCTTTTCCACCCGCTCCCAGCTCCATTCTCTGTCTTTTCCTGGTGGCTCTCACCATGCCTGCCCCAGGGTCCTCCCTCAGCCCCTGTTCCCTTTGCAGAGCTGTTGGGCGTCCGGCGCTTCAGAGCGCGCACCCTCAACTACAGCACCCTGCTGCTGGAGGATGACCGTGGCATCCTCTACGTGGGGGCCAGGGGAGCCATCTTCGCCCTCAACTCCAGCGACGTGGCTGACGGCTCCCACCGCACGGTGAGCCTGGCCCCTACTTGCCATTAGCTGCTCGTCCTCCCCTGTCCCACTCTGCCCGCTCCCTGCACGAATTGTGGCCACCCTGTCCCTGCTCGTCCTCCCTCTCCCCACTTCAGGTCTTGCCTGGAGGTGCTGTCCCCAGGTCCCCTGTGGACATCTGGACCTTCTCCCTAGCTAGGCAGTGTGGGGACAGTGGTGGGAGGTGCCCCCAGGCTCAGAGCTGCCTGCTTCAGGGACACCCTGTCAGGACGAAGGGCAGGGGAGAAGCATTACACCTTTGCTCCCACTGGGAAGGATACCCCAAAATTCCTCCAGGCGCCTGTTGGTTAGGGTCTGGAATCACTCTCACCCTGGGGTGGGGTTGTGGGGAGGGATGCCATCTCGTGCGGAGGATTTTAGCATCTCTGAAGGCTCTGGCAGAGGCTGGAGCCTGCAGTCATGGCGGAACCATGTGGTGATGGGGGAAGTTCCTCTTTCCATTGCAGATCCAGTGGGAAGCCTCCCCAGAGAAGCAGATGGACTGCCTGCAGAAGGGCAAAAACAACAAGGTAGAGCCGGTGGGTGGGTGCTGGGGGGGCTGCTGCCGCCTCCCCAGACTCTAACGCCTGCCCTCCCCCTCTGCAGACCGAGTGCTTCAACCACGTGCGGTTTCTGCAGAGGCTGAACAGCACCCATCTCTATGCCTGCGGGACCTACGCCTTCCACCCGCTCTGCGCTGCCATCGTGAGTCCTGCTCAGCCCCACGGCTGTCCCCTGTCCCCTGCCACCATGTCACCGCGTTGTGGTGCAGCCCCTGCACTCCCACCATCTCCCCCCTACAGCCTAACTCCCTTTCTGCCCCTGTCCTACCAGCTCAGGGGGGAGGCGAGTGACCCCCAGGCTGGGGTGGGTAGATCTGGGGATGCAGCACCGTGCTGCAGACACCCAAAGTCCCGTCCCGTCCCCCCCCTGCCCCCAAGCACTGGGGTTGGACTCAGACCCCATAGCAAGATGGCTGGGGGTGGATCGGTGACGGGGGTGGGGCATGTGGGCTCAGTGAGACCAGTGGGGTGGGATGTGCCAGCACTGGAGCTGGTCCCCAGCTCCTGCTGTTGCAGGGTCCCTTCCCAGATCAGGGGCTGCAGTCTGGCTGGTGGCCAGTGGCAAGCATGCCTGGAAGGGTGGTAATGGCAGGAGGGGTGACGGTGGCAGGGCTGACTCAGCAGCCCATCCCTAGGGATTTCCCCGGCCAGGACAGGGGTCCTTGTGTGGCCGTGACTCAGGGCAGATGCCAGGGGCAGCCACGTTCCCGGCAGTGGGACTTTCACCCCTGTGTGGAGGCTCTTCGATGACTCAGCCGCCCTTTGCCCACCTCCCTCCCGGACCAAAGGGACTTCCTGGGACCATGTGTGCAGCACGGCCAGGGAATCCCGGGGGAGCCGTGCCCGTTCCCACAACCGTGTCGCCGGTCCGGTTTGGCTGTCGCACGCCCTGGGAGTCAGGCGGAGCAGCCGCTGAGCTGGAAGGGCCCGGTCATTATTTGACGTGCTTTGAACTACAAACCCCACAGAAAATAACTCCTGCTGTGACAGGGACATCCCCCGGGGGGAGCCAGCCCGGCTGGACAGCGTCTGCTGGCCAGGCACAGCCTGGGAACGTGGGTTGCGCTGGCCACATCCTGCCTGGTGCCCACACGATGCCAAAGTGGGGTGCTGGGGCTCCTTCTGAGCCCTTCTCTTGGCTGTGGGCTGTGGCTGTCTATGTGGTTTCCGACCAGCTAGAGGGTGCAGGGAGCGTTTGTCTTGCCTGCACAAGGACGTGGGCATGGCTTTGTCCCCACTAGCAGCAGAGAGCTTGGGGCTAGCAGGCAAGGCAGGTCTGTCGCCTCCTGTGTAACCCAGTCCCCTGTCCCCGTCAAGGATGCCAACAGGTTTACGTTGCCATCATACTTTGAGGAGGGCAAGGAGAAGTGCCCATACGACCCTGCTCGTGGCTACACTGGCCTCATCGTGGGTAAGCAGCACCCTTGCCAGGGCTGGTGGGGACATGTGGTATGCCACTGACCCTGGCCCCATCCCCAGTGCCCCCATGGGGTTCCCCCAGCTGGGTGGGCTCTGTATGCAGGGGCCTTAGCAAGCCAGGCCTTGGTCCTCCTCCTCCTCCTTTTCCACTTGGGGCATGGGGATGCTGGTGGCTTTTGGGGCTATCCCTGAGGAGCAGCACCATGCTGATGGTGCCTGCCCTGCCCAGATGGTGGATTGTACACAGCCACACGCTACGAATTTCGGAGCCTCCCTGACATCCGGAGGAACCTGCACCAGCGACCGCTGAAGACAGAGGAATCCCCACTGCACTGGCTGAACGGTGAGACTGCTATGGTCCCCTGGGGCCAGTGCTGTGGGCTGTGGGATGCTGTGCATTGCCTTGGGGAGCGTGGACCTGGAGTGGGGGTACCACTGGGGTCCTCTATGGTTTGCCATGAAGAAACTGAGGCAGGGAGCAATCCTCCATCCTGTGGTGGGTCCCCAGCCTCCAGCTTTCACTCTGTGCTCCTCAGATGCTGAATTCGTGGCCTCTGTGCTGGTCCGGGAGAGCAAGGACAGCCCTGTGGGTGACGATGACAAAATCTACTACTTCTTCACGGAGTGGGCTGGCGAGGAGACCACATCCTTCTTCGACAAGAGCCAGGTGGCCCGAGTAGCCCGGGTGGCCCGTGTCTGCAAGGTAGGCATGTCTGCAGCCACGGGGAGCCAAGCACTGGGACAGAGGCTTGGGGGAAAGCGAGGCATGGGCAGAGGGACATGCACCCCCACCAGCCTGTGCAGAAATGCTCCCTGCACCCTCCCAGAGCGACGTGGGGGGGAAGAAGATCCTGCAGCGCAAGTGGACATCCTTCATGAAGGCACGCCTGGTCTGCTACATCCCCTACTACGAGGTGCTGCGCAGCGTCTGCAGCATGGATGGAGGCAGCTGGGCCAGCACCGTTTTCTATGCTGCCTTCACGCTTTCGGCGCAGTGGTGAGCAGGGCAGCAGCCAAAATGGCTGGAGTTAAAAGTCATGGGGGGAGACCAGAGATACTCAAGGGGACACACAGGCAGGTGCTGAGCACCTGGGGGTGCAGTGGTGGGGAGCACCCCTATGTCTGCCTGGGCTCAGGTGGGGTTTTATCCCCCAGGAGGACCATGGAGGCTTCGGCCGTGTGTCGCTACAGCATCTCAGCAGTGCAGCGTGCCTTCGAGGGCCCCTACATGGAGTACCAGGACTCGGCTCGCAAGTGGTCCCGCTACGACGGTGCAGTTCCTGAGCCCCGACCTGGCTCTGTGAGTGCTTGTGGGTGTGGAGATGGGGGCACACAGGGCAGCTGCATCCCCTCCTGACCCGCGTCTCCCCTGCACAGTGCATCACGGACCGCTCCCGCAGGAAGGGCTACAACTCCTCACAGGACCTGCCCAACAGCGTCCTGGACTTTGTGAAGCTGCACCCGCTCATGTTTGAGGAGGTGAAGCCGGCTGGCGGGGAGCCGCTGCTGGTAAAGAAGAGCGTGGTGTACAGCCAGCTGGCCGTGGACAGGGTGCAGGCCCTTGATGGCCGCTCCTACGATGTGCTCTTCATGGGGACGGGTGAGCACGGGTTGAGTTTGTTGGGTCTCTGCAGGCAGGGAGCACACCCCACACTCCTTCCTGACCCCCTGCTCTGCTCTCCAGGGGATGGCTGGATCCACAAGGCTGTGGTGGTGGGCTCCGGCATCCACATCGTGGAGGAGGTGCAGGTGTTTAGGGACCCGCAGCCTGTGGAGAGCCTGGTGATCTCCCATGCCCAGGTGAGGGGTGGAAGAAGTGGGGGGACACCACATATGGGGCATGTTTGTGCTGCAGCCTTTGGGCTGTTTGTGGAATGGGGGAAACATGACTCCTGGGTCACCCCAGCTCGGGACACATGCCAGAGCCTAAGGAAAGGGAGCAGTATGGCCTCCTGCTGCAGCCATTCAGCACTGACTGGAGCTGGGGTCCCTCCCCCATGCACCACACCAAGGGAGAGCTGGATCTCTGGGCAGCATGGGGCACCCCATAGCCCAGTTACACCATGCCAGGTCAGTGCTGAGCCAGTCCTTTTCCCCCAGAGAAGCCTGTACGTGGGGGGAGCCACTGGGATCCTGCAGGTGCCCCTGGCCTCCTGCAGTAGGTACACCTCCTGCTATGACTGCATCCTCGCCCGGGACCCCTACTGCGCCTGGGATGGCAGGTCCTGCTGCGCCACTGCCACCACAGACAGGTAGGGACAGGCTGCCCATCCCCAGTGAGGTCCCCATGAGCCTTCCACCTGCCCACATCACCCCATGGCACAGTCACCCCAATGCCACCTCAAGGGTCTGGCATCCCCCAGGTGGCTGTGACCCCATAAGAGTGGGCTCAGTCAGGGCTGTATGGCTGAAACCCTGGTGTCTTGCAGGGCAGGGCTGGTGCAGGACATTCAGAGTGGCAACGAGGGATGCCGGAGCAGCTCTGGGCGGGGTGAGTCTGCGCAGCCCTTGCGACCACAGGGGATGCTGGTGTCCGGCATCCCTTAGGGTGACTGGGAATGGTGCAAGGCAGTGCTTGTCCCCACAGGCTCTCTGCCATGGAAGAACCGGACGGTGCTGCAGGGGGACGACGTGCTGTTGCCCTGCGACCAGCGCTCCAACTTGGCACGAGCCGTCTGGCTGCTGAACGGCAGCGAGGCGCTGGACGCGGGGCAGGACCGGCTGCGCATCGGGGTGGACGGGCTGCTGGTGACAGACACGCTGCCGCAGCACAGCGGCGAGTACCGCTGCTATGGCGAGGAGCGTGGTCTCCGGACGCTGCTGGCTGCCTACAGCCTCACCGTGCTGACTGAGCTGCCCCGCATCCCCACGGCCGCCTCACGGCCCCATGCTATCAGCCAGGCCGGCAGCGACATGAAGGTGGCTTATGTCTCCGCCATCGTCGCCTTGGTGGTGCTGTGCGCCGTGCTCAGCACCGTCCTCCTCTATGTGTCCTGCCTGGAGAAGCGCAAAGGCAAGTATGTGCTGGGGGATCCGCGGCCAGCCAGTGTGGAGCTGCAGACCGTCTCAGCCAACTGCCTGCGCAAGGGCCACCGGGAAGAGGAGGAGGAGGAAGAGCTCGCCTACCCTGATGGCCGCCTGCGGATCATCCCTGGTGAGGCACCCACGGCTGCCACATCCCCAGTGAAGGAGCTGCCGGCTGCTGTGCCCCCGCTGCCGCCACCGCTGCCGGCCGAGCTCACCAATGGCGTGGGGACTCTGCCCAATGTGCTCCGCAAGATGAATGGCAACAGCTACATGCTGCTGCAGCAGCAGGAGGAGCCGCTGGTCTCGCCGCTCTACAGCGCATCCTTCACCGAGGAGCTCAGCAAGATCCTGGAGAAGCGGAAACACACGCAGCTGGTGGAGAAGCTGGATGAGAGCTCCGTGTAGGGGCTGGGGGAGGGTCCTGCCAGCGGGACCCTCCACCCCTCCAGCCCCTTCTCCCACCCCCTGCCAGCAGTGTTACAAGACTCAGGCAAAACTACCTCCTGGATGGCACAGCTGGGCCAGGCCTGGGCTCGGCCGTTCCTGTGGCTTTTCTCTGACTTTTGAGACTCGCTATACAGAAAAAAAAGAATCTATTTAAATTTGGAGCTCTATTTATGTATAAAAACCCACTGACGGCGGCCACAAGCAGGAGGCAGGAGCTGGCACCTGGCTGAAGGTGGACCCTGGGGGGAGGGAGAGTTTCTGTCTGTCCGTCTGTCCAGGTGTGAGAGAGATGCTATTGTGGACGCATGGACTTGGCCTGCCCTGCTGGGTGTCCCTTGGCTGCTGAGAGGTGGGTGAGGAGCAGGGAGCGGGCTGGGGGCTCCTTAGCTTTCTGCTCACAGGAGAGGGGCTGTGGACACAAGTCACACTGTTGGGGGTGGCCTTGCTGGCTGCCAGCCCCTGCCCGCTCTCCCACATCTGCCCCCAGGGATGGCTCCAGGAAGAGGACTGTTCAGTGAGTGTTGGGGCTGGGTGAGGAAGCTGACGTCCACAATGTCCTGGAGCAGCTGGTGGAGCAATGTGTGCCTGCTGTGAGGAGGATACAGGTAAAACACAGGGCTGGGTGACTGGGGGAGGTGGCACCTCTGGGACCTCTGACCCTGACAGTGCTCTGCCCTCTCTCCCCAGGGCGCTGCAGAGGAAGAGCAGGATGCAGCAGCAGGACACACTGGCAGCAGGACTGGCAGCTGTGCCCTGTGGTGTAGCAGGGGACTTATTGCAGCACCAGCATTCCCCACAGTGTCTGCAGTGCCTCCGCAGTGCCTCTGCAGCCCCATGTTTCTGCCCTCCTGTGTGGTGCTGCTGGAGAACTGGGGTTCAGGCACAGCCCTGTCCACCACGGAACAACATGTGGGAAGGGAAACATCCTCACAGAGCAAGGAGTCCTGGACATGGCATCTCCCACTGGGGCTTCCTGCCCTTCAAGGCACTTTCAAGGGGCAGCCTCTGTCCCTAAATCCCCCCAACTACCTCTCCTGCCACCTCCTGGGCGAACCTGAGGAACTGGAGTGACAAAAGCATGTCCCGTTGTGGGGACAGGTCTGTGACATTGGAGAAGCTGCGAAGGGAGAGACTTGTTGAGGTGCCTGACCTCCCTTCTGTGTTCCTTGCTGGCACTTCCAGGATCAGGACATCACCCGGCACTCAGCCCAGCGGGGGGGGGCAGGAACAGCGTGGCAGCCCTTGGCATCCCCAGCAGGCTGGAGCCCAGGCCTCCCTGCCCCAGCAGGGTGAGGTGCAGTGGGAAAAGGCAAGAGCCAAATGCCTGCATTCCCCCATCCTGCCCCAACCCTTGGTTTTGCTGCAAGGTGGGACCAAGCCGCCCCAAGCACCCACCCTCTGCAAGGAGGGACATCACCCTCTGTGTCTGGCACCCCTCATACACAGCCCCATGTGCCCCCTGGCAATAAACACGGCTCTGTCTGGAAGTGATGTTTTCTCTGTGGGCAGGAGAGGTGGATGCAGAGGCACAGGGTGTGGGGTTGAGGTTTTATTGGGCTTGGAGCCGTGGGCCCCGCACAGTGAGGATGGAGGGTTTGTTGGTGAGGGGGTGCCACTGGCCCTGGATGCTGGGGTTGTCGGTGTGGAAGGGCTTGCGGATGCGGATGATGTCCAGGCCGGACTGGCCAGCCAGCTTGGTGGCCAGCTGCAGGATCTCTTCGCTTGTCTTGCTGGTGATGAGCTCCTCCCGCACTGTCCCATTCACTGTGGCAGAGCAGGAAGGGAGCACAGAATCATTAGGGTTGGAAGGGACTTCTGGAGGTCATCCAGTCCAACCCCCTGCCACAGCGGGACCACCTGGAGCAGCTTACACAGGAACACATCCAGGCAGGTTTTGAATGGCTCCAGAGAGGGAGACTCCACACCCCCCCCGGGCAGCCTGTTCAGTGCTCTGCCACCTTCAGCATAAAGAAGTTCTTCCTCATGAAGAGGTGAAACTTCCCGTGTTTTAGTTTATGGCCATTGCTCCTCAGCCTGTCACTGGGCACCACTGAAGAGGCTGGCACCATCCTCCTGGCACCTGCTTTTGAGATATTTATATGCATTGATGAGATCCCCTCTCAGCCTTCTCTTCTCTAGACTGAACAGGCCCAGCTCCTGCAGTCTCTCCTCATAAGAGAGATGCTCCAGACCTCTTAGCATCCTCGTGGTCCTCCACTGGAACAGGCCAAGGCGCATTCCCCTCCTTCCTCCCCAACACTCCCCCTGGGGGGTGGCTGCTGTTCCCCTGCCCCACAGAGCAGCCATCCTCAGTGCTGTCCACAGCAGGGCAGAGGTGGGGGAGCACCAGTACAGGAGGGACTCCATCATCCTGCCCCACATCCCCCTATTTCCAACTGCACTCACAGTACTCAGCCACCAGCACCGGTGTCGGGTTGAAGCAGGGCCTGACGTAGAGGACGACATCGGGGTGCTGCCGCGCGAAGTCCAGTGCCTCCTCCTCCACGAACTGCCTGTAGGGGGAGAGGGGGTCTGGTGTGCTCAGAGGTCACTGCAGCCCCCACCCATGGTGAAGGGCAGACATCGCCACCAGCCTGCCTGTGTGCTGAGGGTCAGCAGTGCCCCCCACCTCTGTGGGTCAGAGCTCAGCAGCACCCTCTCTCTTCCCCATTGCCCTGGCTTCAGCTGTAATGGTTTTCAGTGGTTTTCTCCTTGTTAGTAGCTGGTGCAGTGCCGTAGTTTGGCTTTGGTCTGAGAACAGCACTGATAACATCCATGTTTTAGTTGTTGCTTAGTAATGTTTACTCTGATCAAGGACTTATGTCTCATGCTCTGCCAGTGAGGAGGGGCACGGGAGGCCCGGAAAAAGCAGAGACAGGACACCTGACCCAAACTAGCCGAAGCGATAGCTGTGGTATAATTATTCCACACCACAGCACGTCATGCCCGCTATATAAACTGGGGGCAGTTACCCGGAAGGGCTGGATTGCTGCTGGGGTCGGGCTTTGGGTATCGGTGGGCGGGTGGTTAGCGGTTGTATTCTGTCCCCTTGTTATTCCCCTTACGTTGTTATTACCACCATCAGCTCGGTATTACACACACCCACACAGGCTCTCACCAGCCCCTCCCCACCAGGTCAGAGATCAGGGGTCACCAAGCCTTCCTCTTCCTCTCCTTCCCAATACACACACACACACCCCACACCCCCGGCGCGCAGGGGCAGCGGTGCGGTGCCCCCCGGGCGGTACCTGGCGCCGCGGGCATCGGCCGCGGTGGGGCTGAAGAGGAGCTGGAGGCGCTGGAGCTGCCGCACGTAGCGGCCCACGCCGTTGTGCAGGACGGACGTGAGGAACCGGCTGGGCGACCCGCGGCCCGTCATGGCGCCTCTTCCCCGGGAACCGGAACGGCGCCGGGAGCGCAGGACATCCGCATCCGGCCCTTGGGGAAGTGGCGCGCTGAACGCGGCGGGGCGGGCAATGGCGGCGGCCGCGGAGCTCCACGTGGGGGGGGCGGCGTGAGCGGCGCCGGAACCGGGGGGAACCGGGAGGGGGCCGTGGGGCAGCGGCCGATGCGGATCGGCAGCCGTCCGGGGCGGGCAGGATGGCGGTGGTGCCCCTGCGGCCCTGCAGAGCCGCCGGCCGCCTCCTGCCGCTGCTGTGCTGCGGGGCGAGGAGCCAGGGAGCCTCCCTGAGCCCCGGCGTGCCGGGCCGCCTCACCCAGCGGGGCTACAAGAAGGACGTGCTGCCTTTGCCCGAGGGGCCCGTGCCCTCCGTCACCATCACCGAGATCCGGCAGTACCTGCGCGCCCAGGGCATCCCCTTCCGCGACGGGTACAGCTGCCTGCACACCCCCAGCTTCTTCACCGCCGGCCGGGAGGAGCAGCCGCCGGCCGCCAGCGCGCCCTACACGCTTTTCATTGACAAGACGACGGGCAGCTTCCTGTGCACGGCCACCCTGGCCGAGGGCACCTGGCAGGACTTCCAGGCCAACGTGGAGCTGCAGCACCGCGGCGCTCCCCCCGACAGCTCGGAGGAGGCAGAGGAGGACATGCGGCGGGCTCGTGAGGATGCCCGCTGCATCTGGGAGCGGGCGCTGCCGCTCTCTGATCTGTTGGATAAAGATGAGACCAAGGAGACCAAGGCCATGTTCGGTATCAACCCGGTAACGGATGCCACCCTGAAACGCTTTGGGGTGCGTTATCTGAGGACTGCTAAGTCCCTTGTCTTCCCCTGGTTTAGTCCCCGTGATGCCACCCTAAAAGGCCTGAAGCTTCTGCGGGTGGAGAAGAAGGGGGATACGATAGTTTATGTGGAAGAGACTTTACCCCGCTTTGATTCCTATCGCAATCTCTTTGGTCTGCCCTTGATCAGCTGCCGAGACACAGAGCTGGTGTTAACGGGGTGGGAGCTGGATGCCCTGGCCCTGCACCAAGCCACAGGGGTGGCCAGCCTGGCCCTGCCACGGGGGTCCACCTGCCTGCCCCCCGCCCTCCTCCCCTACCTGGAGCAGTTCAAGCGCATCACGCTGTGGCTGGGAGAGGACCTGCGCTCCTGGGAAGCCGCCAAGCTCTTTGCCCGCAAGCTGAGCCTCAAGCGCTGCTCCCTGGTGCGCCCCGGCAACCTGCAGCCCCGGCCCTTGGAGGCTCTGAACCAGGGCCTGAACCTCACCAAGATCCTGCGTGCCGCCCTGCCCGCCAGCCACAAATCCATCGTGTCCTTCCGGCAGCTGCGTGAGGAGGTGTTTGGGGAGCTGGTCAACAGCGAGCAGGTGGCTGGCGTCAAGTGGGTACGCTTTCCCGAGCTCAACAAGCTCCTCAAAGGGCACCGCAGAGGGGAGCTCACTGTCTTTACAGGTGATGGGCAAACTGCTGGTGGATGGGGAGAGCAGAAGGCTCTTTGGTGCTTCACCTCTTGGGGGTGATGCCTTGCAAATCTTTCAGGTCCCTTTATGCCTGTGGCTTCAGCTGAGTCTGTCCTGAGTGCAGTGGGGCTGGATGCACCAGTGTGGTGATGGGCTCACTGCCTGAGGCAGCATAGGAAATCCTGGGGTGTCCCTCACCCCTGCTTCCACCTGCCACCTCTTCTCTGAGCCCTCCGTGTGCCAGCCCTTCACCGCACCCTACAGGGACCTTCTGGCTGCTGGAAGCAACATGTGTGTGTCCAGAGATGCAGCCAAGCAGGAGGTGCTGCTTGTATATGGTGGGAGTGCTGTGGATAGGTTGCTCTTATCCCACTCCTTGGCACTTCCACCTCTGAACAGCCCCACAACGTGTTCAGGATGGGTCAGATAATTTCCCCTGGCTAATTCCTCCTGTCATTGTCCTTGTACCAGGCCCGACGGGCAGTGGGAAGACAACCTTTATCAGTGAGTACGCGCTGGACCTGTGCATGCAGGGGGTGTGCACGCTGTGGGGCAGCTTTGAGATCAACAACATCCGCCTGGCCAAGATCATGCTGACACAGTTTGCTACCCAGCGCCTGGATGACAAGCTGGAGCTGTATGATGAGTGGGCTGATCGCTTTGAGGACCTCCCGCTCTACTTCATGACTTTCCATGGCCAACAGAACATCAAGTATGGTCCCACACCTTCATCCCCAGTAGCAGTTATCCCTCACAGCATGTGCTGTGGGGCACTGGGGAGTTGGGGCTCTTCCTCTGCAGGTTTGGGGCTGGCAGGAGGCATGTTGCTGCTGTTCTAGTACCAGGGCTGGCATGTGGGGACTCTCACAGCCTTCTTCTGGGGTGGGGGTGAAGGGAGAGGACCTGTTCCTGTGCTGGGTGGCTGCTCTAAAATCAGCCTCTGCCCGTGGCAGGATGTGTCCCCCACACACCCTGCTCACTGGCAGCACTGCTGTTTGCTGAGGAGCAAGACAGGCACCTCTGGCTGCTTTTATTCACCAGGTGCTGTTGCACCTGCACACATCCTGTGTGGGCTGGGGGAGGATCACAGGGTGGTGGGTAGGGGCTGGGTTCTCCTGATCCTGCTGCACTCACCTATGGGGTGAAGCATGGGGATGAGGCTTGTGCCTGTCCTGCAGTGGAGGAAATGTGGAGGTGGGATGCGCCAGGAGCCAGCTCAGCCTCTCCACATCCCCATGCCTGGCTCAGCATCCCCATCCCTGCCTCCGCTGATCTCTGGGGCTGATCCCAGTCTCCCCCTACCCAGGGCTGTGATTGACACCATGCAACACGCTGTCTACATGTACGACATCACCCACGTGGTCGTTGACAACCTCCAGTTCATGATGGGATATGAGCACCTCTCTGTGGACAGGTAGCCCTTCTCCAAGCTGCCCCCTCCTTCCTCTGCCACTGTTGTTGCTGGAGCTGGCCCTGCTGTGTGCCACGACAGGGGCTGTGCGCTTTAGTCCTGTCTGGCAGCCCAGTTTCCTTGAAGGGTGATCACTGCCCTGGGGAGGAGGAGGTGGGGAAAGCATGAGCCAGTTACCGTGATCCCTATCATGTCCCATCCCTTTTCCTACATGGG